CGAATCTGTCCCGCATGGTATTATTTGACAGGGATGATGGCCCTGGCAGGTGCGCAACCGTTGTCGCAGAAGTTCGAAAAAGTTGCTCGCAAAAGCCCGTTTGACAGAAATGTTTAAAAAGTGTTGGGTTTCCTACGAATCCGCAAGAGCGCGCGGGATGAGATTTTGACATTTTTTTGTTGAAAAACCATTGGTTTTTTGATGTTTTTATGTTAAAATCGCTCCGAACACTAAGCTTTTGGAAGGATTTCGTCTTGCGCGCGCGAATGTCCACTTTACCTTATTTTTTGCAAGGGATTCTTGAAATTTGATTATATTAGAACAAGAAATGTCATTTTATAGTGTTTTTTGCAAGGGAAAACGGATTACAACAAAACAACCGGATCTGGATCACATCGTTTTACCTGAGGCTTCCTCACGAAAATGATGAAAATGTAGCTGCGGCCTAGGCGCGCAGGGGGGGCGTGCACCAGGGGGCCCAACAATAATTATTCTTTAGAAGAAATAATGTTCAACAACAACAACAACAACAATTACAACACGAACGCTCAGTGTTCTCACCAGTGCCAGGGTTTTCATGCGACGCCAGCCAATACCCCCACTTTGTGGGGGGGCAGTGCAAGCTCTACCAAATATCCACACGACTCTTCGCCACCACCCACACCCAGCTTCCCGCCCTATGACGTTCGGACACTTCACTTCGTGGCCTGCGGACGACCGTGGCTACTACACTGGCGTGGAGTACACACCCACAGAAGTTGTTAAGCCTACGTTCGTACACCCACAGAAGTTGTTAAGCCTACGTTCGTACACCCTACGTTCGTACACCCACTCACAGACCCTGGGGCAACCTATGGCGCAACCAGTAGGGGGACGTTTTATTCTCGGCGGCCGAGGGCGCAACCTATGGCGCAACCAATAGGGGGACGTTTTATTCTCGGCGGCCGAGGGCGCAACCTATGGCGCAACCGCAAGGGATTGTGGCCCCTGGCAGGCGCGCGAACCCCGTTGCAAGAGCGTGCGAAAGTAGCTCGCGCGAGCTCATGTAACATAAATGTTGGGAAACCATTGGTTTTTTTTAGGATTCGGACAGCGCGCGCGGGTGGAAATTTTGAAAAGTCGTGCAGGTGTTTTTCGAGGACCTACGGTGCGATTCGTGTGATTTTATGATGCGCGGTGCTAAAATTCTTAAGAAGCCCAATGGTTTTTGGAGATTTCGGCGTGCGCGCGCGAAGAAAAAACGAATGTGTCCCGCATGGTATTATTTGACAGGGATGATGGCCCTGGCAGGTGCGCAACCGTTGTCGCAGAAGTTCGAAAAAGTTGCTCGCAAAAGCCCGTTTGACAGAAATGTTTAAAAAGTGTTGGGTTTCCTACGAATCCGCAAGAGCGCGCGGGATGAGATTTTGACAATTTTTTGTTGAAAAACCATTGGTTTTTTGATGTTTTTATGTTAAAATCGTTGCGAACACTAAGGTTTTGGAAGGATTTCGTCTTGCGCGCGCGAATGTCCACTTTACCTTATTTTTTTGCAAGGGATTCTTGAAATTTGATTATATTAGAACAAGAAATGTCATTTTCTATTGTTTTTTGCAAGGGAAAGCGGATTACAACAAAACAACCGGATCCTGTACACACCCTCTTTTCTGAGGCTTCCTCACGAAAATGATGAAAATGTAGCTGCGGCCTAGGCGGCGCAGGGGGGGCGCGCACCAGGGGGCCCAACAATAATTATTCTTTAGAATAAATAATGTTCAACAACAACAACAACAACAACACCAACACCAACAACAACACCAACACCACCAACAACAACAACAACAACAACAACAGCAACAGCAACAACAACACCAACGACAACAACAACAATAATGACAATAACAACAACACCACCACCAACAACAACATTAACAACAACAAGAACAGCAGCAGCAACAACAGCAACATCAACAACAACAACAACAAAAACAACACCACCACCACCACCCACAACAACAACAAACACAACAACACCAACAACAACAGCAACAACAGCAACAGCAGCAGCAGCAGCAACAACAACAACAGCAGCAACAACAACAACAACCAACAACAACCACAACAACATCAACAACAACAACACCAACAACAACAACACCAACAACAACAACATCACCAACAACAGCAACAACAGCCAACAACAACAACAGCAACAACAACAACAACAGCAAGAACAACACCATCAGCAGCAGCACCACCACCACCAACAACACCAACACCAACACCAACACCAACACCACCAACAGCAACAGTAACAACACCACCAACAACAACACCAACACCAACACCAACACCAACAACAGCAACAACAACAACAGCATCAACAACAACAACACCAACAACACCATCAACATCAACAACAACAACAACAATCAATTTAAGACTGTTCGCCCTTATCTGCTCGAGTGTCCAATGATGCCTATCTCCCAAGCCCTCGATACCAGCCCTCTTCGTCTTTGATCGAACCCCTTTTGGGGGGTATATCTTTCTTCCCTGCAGGCCGGGTCCCGGCAAGCGGCGGGGCGGCCGCGGGCCGTCGGCCTGTCCAGCGGCAACGCTGATCGGCGGGGCGGCCGCGGACCGTCGACCCGACCCCAAGAGGGACGGACAGGGGACCGACCACGACGACGACGACGACGGCGACGACGACGACGAGCGAAAGCGAGAGCGAAAGAGAACGGCAGCAGGGCCACGAGGACACGAAGTAGGCCACGAAGGGCAACAGCGGGGACACGAAGGGAATGCATATGGGGCCTGGGGCCACGAAGAGCGCGAACGAGCGGGGGCCGCGAAGGGCAGATAATGCGGGGCCACCGAAGGCAACGATGGGGCCACTGAGGGTAGCAACTGGGCCACGTAGGACAGATGCATATGGGGCCACCACGGGCGCGAACGAGCGGGGGCCACGAAGGACATACATATATTGGGCCACGAAGGGCAGCGAGGGGGCCACGAAGGGATGCAACGGGGCCACGAAGGGCAGCGAGGGGGCCACGAAGGGCTGCAACGGGGCCACGAAGGGCTGCAACGGGGCCACGAAGGGCTGCGACGGGGCCACGCATGGCAGCGAGGGGGCCACGAAACAAAGCGAGGGGGCCACGAAGGGCTGCAACGGGGCCACGAAGGGCAGCGAGGAGGCCACGAGGGGCTGCAACGGGGCCACGAAACAAAGCGAGGGGGCCACGAAGGACTGCAACGGGGCCACGAAACAAAGCGAGGGGGCCACGAAGGGCTGCAACGGGGCCACGAAGGGCAGCGAGATCCCGATTTCTATGTCATCTGTAAGGGCGTCCTAAGCGTGAGCGCGACCCCTGGGTGCCTGGGTGTCGGGAGCGCGGCGCGTGAGTAATTTGCAAGATATTTCAATGCAAGATATTCAGTAAATTGCAAGCAAGGCTCCAGCGAGAGCGCGACTCCAGAGCGCTGGGAGAATAAATTCTAAGGAAGTCCCAAGCGAGAGCGCGATTCCTGAGTAAAACGCGAGGAAGTCTCGGGCGGGAGCGGGGGTCCTGGCTAAATTGTGAGAAGTCTCAGGCGGGAGCCGTTGTTGTTGTTGTTGTTGCTGTAACCCGGGGACCAAGGGCGTTTGACCCTCAAGACTTTCCCTGTCAAAAAACAGGGTGCGAGCGTCGAGGGGCACACTTTGATTGAGAAAAAACAATATGCACGGGTGAGGGGGGATCAACAATAATTATTCTGCAGAAATGAGAATTCAACAACAGGAGCAGCAACAGCAGCAGCATCAGCAACAGCAACAGCAACAACACCTACAACAACACCTACAACAACACCTATAACAACAACAGGAACAGCAACAGGAGCAGCAACAGCAGCAGCAACAGCAACAACAACAGCAACACCAGCAACAACAACAGCAACAGCAACAACAACAGGAACAGCACCAGCAACAACAGCAACAGCAACAACACCAACAACAGCAACAGCAACAACAACAGCAACAGCAACAGCAACAACAAAAGGAGAGGGGGCGCACCACTCTCGGAACGCTTTCCGGGGGAGAGCGCAGAGTGACACTCAGACGCTGCCATCGCAGCAATGGAAAGACGGGGAGGCCGAGCGGGGCAGGGGAAGGAAGCGACAGAGCCTGCCTGGAGGAAATAGAACCCTCCCCCTCCTCCTCCTCCTCCTCCTCCTCGTCCTCCTCCTCCTCCTCCTCCTCGTCCTCCTCCTCCTCCTCCTCGTCCTCCTCCTCCTCCTCCTTCTCCTCCTCCTCCTCCTCCTCCTCCTCCTCCTCCTCCCACTCCTAGCCCTTTCGATCAGGGTCGGCGGCACTGGCCGTCAAGCCTCTCCAATAGAACCGTGCACGTGCACCGAGCCTGGCCGGGCCCAGGTATAGTGTTCTTCGCCCGGCTGGTGCTACGGTGCTGGCCAGCCGCATGCCGAGAGGGAACTCCGAGCTGCTCAACACGCGTGCAGGAATGCGCTGTGAGCCGCCGGGCAGGGGGAGGGCTCGCGCCAGGTGGTGGGAGTGTTCGGCGCGCGTGGGGGGGGTGCCTGGAACGAGTCGTCGGACTGAGTGGCATGGGGGATGGGGGGGTCTTGCTGCACAGTCTGGAGGAAGGCAAGAGAGGTAGGGAAGGAATGGGAGAGGAGTGAAGCGAGGAGCCCGGCAAGGAGAGGAGCTCCCGTCCCCTCTGGCGCTCTTGAACATCGATAAACCGATCCCTATTCCCACTGGAGTGGCCTGGACCCCACTGGCCGATCTGCCCCGCCAGACGGGGATAGGGGTTCCGTTCCCTTCGGACTTCGAAGAGCACCTCCCCAACTGGGGTGTTGGGATGGTGAGGATCGGGATCGGAACGGGAATCGGGATCGGCCAGACAAGACCGAACTCTTTTCCCCGTGGCCGACGCCCAGCGTCCA